TAACCCATAACCCTTAACCCATAACCCTTAACCCATAACCCTTAACCCATAACCCTTAACCCTTAACCCTTAACCCATAACCCTTAACCCATAACCCTTAACCCATAACCCTTAACCCATAACCCTTAACCCATAACCCTTAACCCATAACCCTTAACCCTTAACCCATAACCCTTAACCCATAACCCTTAACCTATAACCCTTAACCCATAACCCATAACCTATACCTTATAACCATAATCCTAACCCTATAAAAATTTAACATTAAATTAGCGAATTTTTCTGTACTCAAACAAACCTTTAAAAATAAATGTTTTATTATTTTTTTAAAATATTTATTATTATTAAACACCAAAGGAAAAAACAGAAAAAGAAATACAAAGATTCTCTACAACTCACATTTAAATTTGTATAAAATTTATATATTACAAAAATATTTTTAAAATTTCATTATTCTACATACCTTGTTTTTAACACAACCAGTGATTCGATTTTAATAAAATTTATATTATTGGATTCATCTCAATAAGAGGATTCTAATAATAATAAAATCAAATTACTAGCTTTAATATTGAAAAAGTTATGTCATAAAATGTATTTTTACTTCAGTACTTAAGATTTACTTATGAGTTATATTAGTATTATTCAGGAATCAATACAAACATATCAATTTATAAGAGCACGGACTTCACTTTTTCTTTTTACTGACCGATTTTTCAGTCTTTACCACTTTTTTTCTTTTCGTTATATACATCTAAAATATACTGTAACATTACCTATGAACTTTTTTTTTCTTATATTAAGATATATCTGCCACACCTTTCAATAGTAATCAGATCCATATTCAAATGGCAAAAGAAAAACATTTATTAATTGATAAAAATTTTTTTTTAATGTCTCAAGATCACATGTATTAAGTTGGAGTTCTGAAAAGATATATTCAATAAGTTTTGAATTAAGCTCAATTTCAAATGCCAACTTTATTGGTTCATTCAATTCCTCTACACTTTGAAACAGAATCCCAAACATCACATATATAACTCACATTTAAGTTTTAGCAAATTCAATCAAAATTAAGTTAAACTTATAATTTTAAATAAAGCAAATTGATTGAAAATTAATTAAAAATTATAATTATGAATTTTAGCAAATTGTGTTAATTTTACAAAGTCATATTTTATATTTAAGCAAATTGGTACTTTTTTTTTGAATTTAACTCATCCTTTTTTTTAACTTTTATTGATAATATTTTTAAAAATATTAGTTTCAGGGTCTGGGTTATATTTTGGCCAAAATTAAGTATAATTCCGGCCAATATTAACCATAATGCAAACCAAAACCGTCTGATTAGTTTTGCAACATTTTTTTTTCAATTTTTTGTGATTATCTCAGCATCCAGTGATCTGATTTATGCAGATTTTTTTTAATTCGTAGAGCTCAATGAGGGCTACAAAATAAAAAAAGATCGCATAAATTAAACTACTGAATGCTGAGATAATCACAAAAAACATGATTTTTTTTTGAAATTTAGGCCAATTTGCTAAAAAGTTATACTCATATTTTGAGTTTTAGCAAATTAGTATAGATTAAAATGTGATATTTTGATTTTTAGCAAATTAGGTCTATTTTAGCAGGAGCAAAAAATGCAAAATTCATGCAAATCAGTTATGAGTTATATATATGATATCTGGAGTTCTTTTAAAACTGCTTAGAAATTAATAACTCTTATATCTCGTGCAAACTATATAGAAGTCCATCAGTACCATCATTATATTCATCAATATTATTTTCATGATTTCAGAGGAACTATCATCTAGTTTAAGATTTATGAGGTCAGAAAAGATAGTTTAATTGGAATCAATATTTATTTGAGAAAATATAGTATTAATATTTAGGATTGGTGCATTTAAATTGGCTTCAAGTTTTGCTTTCTTTCTGAAAATCAGCTTTATTTCCTTTCGTGTATTCTTACGTTTTTCACAACATTTATTGCAAGTTGAATGTTCATATGGCAGATTGTTACCACGAGAATGGAAAAAATCAGCTTTTTTTATTATACATGAACATTTAGTACATTATTTCTTATCAAAATTTAGGCTGGAGACTTCTATTACTATATAATTTATAATTTATTCAACAATTAATTTTTAATTATATATCATATTAATGAAAAAAATCACAATAAATTATTAATAAATACCTTCTTTTAAGTTTTCTTTATTCATTTGGATTATTTTTGATTTTATCATGTAGAACTTTTAATAAAATTTTAAGTCGTGTTATGCATAAATAGCTGTAAAGTGTAGATCTTTTTTCTGTTTGTTATTTATACATTTTATATTTTCTGAAACGCAAATTTATGAAAATTTAATTTTTATATTTACTGTACATATTTTTTTATGTAAAAAAAGATTTTTGTATTTTATTTATTTATGAATATAAATTATTTTATGGATAATTTTAACACTCACTCTGAGTGAAAATCACCTGGTCATGTGACATCAAATTTTACGTTTCAAAAAAAAATTAATTTATTTTTTAATATAATAAATAACATATGTATTATCAGTTATATAATTTACATTAATAAATCTCGTTTATAACAACAAATAATGTTTTTATTAGTATTTGAATTACATTAAGAATTACATCAAAAATATCTGTTGTTCTTCTCTCCGATTATAATTTTCTAATATAAAAGTTACAATACATAAAAATCTACGCTGCTCTCATATTAATTAAAGTAGTTATTAGTACAATAAAAAATCAAATAAAGAGTGCACTCTGGTATAAAACTATGGAAGTATAGTATAATACCTCTATATTTCCCATCCCTAGCATTTGGACACTTTTTCTGGTAATGACCAGGTTTTCCGCATAACAGACATCTGTATTGACTCTTTGCCACTTGATAATTTGGATCATTCAGGTTTTTTTGCATCGGGATCCATTTTTTTGATAATTCCATAGCACTCTTCAATCTTTTCTTTGAGGGAGCACCTTGTATTTTAGTAACATTAGGATTAGTAATCTGCCCAATTAAGTGCTGTTGTAAAGGAATAATTATATTGCTAGTATCTTGTCTCAATTGATCTTCTGTATAATTATTCACTTCTAAATTATTATTAGTATGATCATTTCTTTCTGATTGTATTTCATGTTTGGCTGCAATAAAATCTTTTAGTATCTTAATTAATTCTTCATCAGTTTTTGTTTTCAAAGCAACATTTATAGCAGTTTTTGCTGTAGAAAATGCAACTCCAGATCGATTTCTTTTGGAATTATTTTGGCGCATGATTTCATTAGGTTGAATATATTCTACTCCTTAAAAATAACGCAAACTTTGAAGTGTAAAGTTATTTTGAGGTGGTGGCACTGATAATGTTGAAGTATCTACAGGTTCTATTGCAGAAAGAACTGGTGAATTTTCAAAACTGCAATCCAAATTAGTTATGTTATCTTTGTATCATCTAGCAGGTATCATGCTAATATGAAATTTTGCTGAACTTGAATATAACATTACCTTCAAGAAATGGCGACAGATAATGCCTTTTGTAACTGTTTACATGCAGGTACAGAGGTGAGTTCCATCAGATAACAGTGCCACTAAATTTTCACGTTGTGATAATCCACCTATATGACGTATTCTCAATGTTTCAATAATATTCCCAAGTTCAATACCACTTAGAAGTGATTGTAATGTTACTTGGAGTTAATCAACTAGATTCTCTACAAAATGAGTACTGGTGGTATTAGACTCCAAATCCTATATAATATATAACAAATGAAGTAAATATTAATATTTTAATATCAAACTTAAACACATGATTTGCAAAATGATTTATTACCTCAATAAATGATGTTACCAATTGACCTTCATAAGTAAATGACTGAGAAATATGAAACCTTTACCAAGACAATACAAGTGGTGTTAAGAAATAGATAAGAATTACATCAATATTAGAAAAAAACTGGGATGATAAATGAGGAATCACAACTGTTGTTTAACGTGCTTTAAGATCAATTAGTTGACAATATTTGGATTCACTTTCATGTCTTTTGTCAATAGCTTTTTCAACGTCACAGAGAGTGCTAGTGCTGTTTACTGCTTTATTGATAATAGCATTAAAAGATTAAACGCTTTGAGTACTCTGTATTCAACCATTAAATTGGAATGGTAAATAAGATTTAGCCCAACTAGAACGATTAGGATATAAAGCTTTTGTCATATAAGATTGACATTCTGGAAATAAATCTATCATTGATTTCCATTTTTGTTCAAATAATTCAATACTTAAAGCATTTCGACATAAATAAAATGCTTTACTAAAAGAAAGAAAATTTTCACCTAATTTTGCTTTAAGATGTTTTATAATATTCTGCCATATATGAAAAAGACAGTGAAAATGAGATATTACCGGGAAAACGTGAGATGCTGCATTGATTAAACCAGGTTCAGAATCAGTCCAAAATGATTTTGGAGCCAAATTATTAGTTGCCTTTATTAAGCATTACAGTCAACTCCCTCTATAGTCACTCCCGTTATAGTCACATTCTACTATATAGTCACACCAGTTGAATGTTCAAAACACTTTATTATTAAAATCTATCCTATATAGTCACAATCTATCTATAGTCACTATCACACCTATCCTCAAAAATCTTATATTAAAAAGAACCGTTTATAATCACAGTTATATAAAGAATATATTAAATAACTTGGCATCTAATAATCGTACAAAGAT